AGCCTAAGCCTAACTTGCTTTACAAATCTGAGTGCTCCTGTACTGGATGCATATATATTTAGGATAGTTAGCTCCTCTTGTTGCATTGATCCATTTACCATTATGTAATGCCCTTCTTTGTCTTTTTTGATCTTTGTTGGTTTAAATTCAGTTTCATCAGAGACTAGGATTGCAAGCCCTGCTTTTTTTTCTTCCTTTCTTTCCATTTGCTTGGTAAATATTTCTCCATCCCTTTATTTTGAGCCTGTATGTGTCTTTGCATGTGAGATGGGTCTCCTGAATACAGCATAGCGATGGGTCTTGACTCTTTATCCAATTTGCCAGTCTGTGTCTTTTAATGGGGGCATTTAGGCCATTTACATTTAAGGTTAATACTGTTATTTGTGAATTTGATCCTGTCATTATGATGCTAGCTGGTTATTTTGCCCATTAGTTGATGCAGTTTCTTCAAAGTGTCAATGGTCTTTACGATTTGGTATATTTTTGCAGTGGCTGGTACTGGTTTTTCCTCTCTGTATTTAGTGCTTCCTTAAGGAGCTCTTGTAAGGCAGACCTGGTGGTGACAAAATCTTTCAGCATTTGCTTGTCTGTAAAGGATTTTATTTGTCCTTCAATTATGAAGCTTAGTTTGGCTGGATATGAAATTCTGGGTTGAAAATTCTTTTCTTTAAGATTGTTGAATATTGGTCCTCACTTTCTTATGGCTTATAGAGTTTCTGCAGAGAGATCCACTGTGAGTCTGATGGGCTTCCCTTTGTGAGTAACCCGACCTTTCTCTCTGGCTTTCCTTAACATTTTTCCTTCATTTCAACCTTGGTGACTTTTACAATAATGTGTCTTAGGTTGCCCTTCTTGAGGAATATCTTTGTGGTGTTCTCTGTATTTCCCGAATTTGAATATTGGCCTGTCTTCCTGGGTTGGGGAAGTTATCCTGGATAATATCCTGAAGAGTGTTTTCCAACTTGGTTCCATTCTCCTTGTCACTTTCAGGTACACCAATCAAACATAGGTTTGGTCTTTTCGCTTATTTCTTGGAGGCTTTGTTCATTCCTTTTCATTCTGTTGTCTCATCTTGTCTTCACACTTTATTTCATCAAGCTGATCTTCAATATCTGATATCCTTTCTTCCACTTGATTAATTTGGCTATTGATACTTGTGTATGCTTCATGACGTTCTCGTGCTGTGCTTTTCAGTTCCATCAGGCCATTTATGTTCTTTTCTAAACTGGTTATTCTAGTTAGCAATTCCTCTAACCTTTTGTCAAGGTTCTTAGCTTTCTTGCATTGGGTTAGAACATGCTCCTTTAGCTCAGAGGAGTTTGTTACTACCCACCTTCTGAAGCCTACTTCTGTCAATTTGTCAGACTCATTCTCCATCCAGTTTTATTCCCTTGCTGGTGATCCTTTGGAGGAGAAGAGGTGTTCTGATTTTAGGAATTTTCAGCTTTTTTGTGCTGGTTTTTCCTTATTTTCATGGATTTGTCTACTTTTTGTTTTTGATATTGGTGACCTTTGTATGGGGTTTCTGTGTGGATGTACTTTTTGTTGATGTTGATGCTATTTTTTTCTGTTTGTTAGTTTTCCTTCTAACAGTCAGGCCCCTCTGCTGTAGGTCTACTGTAGTTTGCTTGAGGTCCACTCCAGACCCTGTTGACCTGGCTATCACCAGCGAAGGCTGCAGAACAGCAAAGATAGTTCCTGTTCCTTCCTCTGGAAGGTCCAGCCCAGAGGGGCACACACCAGATGCCACCTGGAGCCCTCCTGTATAAGGTATCTATTGACCTCTGCTGGGAGGTGTCTTCCCGTCAGGAGGCACAGGGGTCAGGGACCTGCTTGAGAAGGCAGTCTGTCGCTTAGCAGAGCTTGAGCACTGTGCTGGGAGATCTGCTGCTCTCTTTAGAGCTGGTAGGCAGGAATGTTCAAGTCTGCTGAAGCTGTGCCCATAGCTGCCCCTTCCTCCAGGTGCTCTGTCCCAGGGAGATGAGAGTTTTATCTATAAAACCCTGCTGGGGTTACTGACTTCCTTTCAGAGATACCCTGATCAGAGAGGAGGAATCTAGAGAGGCAGTCTGTTTACAGTGGCTTTGCCAAGCTATGGTGGGTTCCATGCAGTTTGAACTTCCAGGGGTCTTTGCTTACTCTCTGAAGGGAAAACTGCCTACTTAAGCCCAAGTAATGGGACTGCACACACTGTCTAACCAGTCCCAATGAATGTAAAATGCTGCAACCATTGGGGTCCACTTGCCAGCCTCAGTTCTTTATACAGTAATTGTCACATGTATCACTTCTATCTGCGTTACACACTCACCCCTCCCCCCACCAAGCTTGAACGTCTTAGGTCCACTTCAGACTGCTGTGCTGGCAGGGAGAATTTCAAGCCAGTGGATCTTAGCTTGCTGGGCTCCATAGGGGTGGAATCTGCTGAGTTAAACCACGTCGCTCCCTGGCTTCAGCCCCCTTTCTAGGGGAGTGAAGAGTTCTGTCTTGCTGGCTTTCCAGGCACCACTGGGGGATGAAAAAAAAAAACTCCTGCAGCTAGCTCAGTGTCTGCCCAAATGGCCACCCAGTTTTGTGCTTGAAACCCAGGGCCCTGGTGGTGTAGAAACCTGAGGGAATCTCCTGGTCTGCTGATTATGAAGACCATGGGAAAAGTGTAATACCTGGGCTAGAGTGCACTGTTCCTCACAACACAGACCCTCATGGCTTTCCTTGGCTAGGGGAGGAAGTTCCTTGATCCCTTGCACTTTCTGGGTGAGGTGACGTCCCCACCCTGCTTTGGCTTGCCCTCCATGGGCTGCACACACTGTCTAACCAGTTCCAATGAGATGAGCCAGGTACCTCAGTTGGAAATGCAGTAATCACCCACCTTCTGCATTTATCTTGCTAGGAGCTGCAGACCGGAGCTGTTCCTATTTGACCATCTTGCCAGCCGCCTCCTCATATGGTATTTTAAATATTTTTTGCATGAAACAAAGCTTTGACTACAACTCATTACATGAAATCATGTTTGGAATTTTCCACTTTTGGCATTAGGTCAATGCTCAAAAATTTTTGGATTTTGGAGCCTTTCGAATTTTGAGTTTTTGAATTAAGGATGCTCAAACTGCTTTCTGTGTTTGCCATTTCTTAAAGTCTACCTTTATCCCTTTAACACATTTTCTATTAAATTTTCTGTGATCAGATAACTAGTAGAGTTGCCATCTCAGCTCACCAGCTCACTACACTCTCCAGCTCCTGGGTTCAGGTGATTTTTGTGCCTCAGCCTCCAGAGTAGCTGAGACTACAGGCCCATGTCACCACGCCCAGCTATTTTTTTTTTTTTTTTTTGGTAGAGACAGGGTTTTACAGTGTTGCCTAGCCTGGTCTTGAACTCTTGAGCTCAAGTGATCTGCCCTCCTCAGCCTCCCAAAGTACTGGGATTACAGGCGGGAGCCACCATGCCCGGCCTCTTGTCTAAATTTTGACTGAAGAAACATCCTTAGCTACTCAGAGTTGTAGGATTTGCTACAGAAAGTAAAATGCTGCAACCATTGGGGTCCATTTGCCAGCCTCCATTCTTTATACAATAATTGTCACATGTATCACTTCTATCTGCGTTACACACTCAGCAAGGGAATGTTATATCTGCTTAACTGAAATAACAACAATCTGCATTCCCCTGGTGTCATTTCTTGTGGGACCGAAGAACTAACTTTAGCATTTCTTTTTTTTTTTTTTCTTCTTTTTTTCTCAGGAGATTCTTAGGAGAGTTTTATTCATTCACTGATCCAGTATTTACAGGGGCTAGAGGGGTCAGGCTGTGCTCTGCCCAGAGGCAGCTGTCACACCTGCCAGCATCCCCACTCACTCACTATGTACAGATAAGGGGGCTGCTTGGAACACCTTCAAAGCCATCTGGCAGAGGCCATGGGGCTGTGTTGGGGCCTGGGCTCCAGAGGCAGTGCTGGGCCCATTACCCCTTGGCATCAGGCCCTCTGGAACACAGGGCTCCAACTGGTTGTCTTGATTCTGCTGCCCCCCCACCCTGAGTGCCTTGCAGAGGCTGAGGAAGCTGGAGTAGCAGGGAGAGCTGAGTGGTGCCAGCTTCCTACAAGCAGCCCTGTCTCTGCTACGCCTCAGAGGAAGGAGACATGGTAATACTGAGGGGCTGGGCAGAGTCTCCTCTGAGTTCCAAGCTCCAGAGACAGAGACCTGGAGTCCAAGTTAGGCCCATAGCTAGGGCCACAACACTGAAGGCAAAAAGCCCTAGAACCTTGCTGTGGAGAGCAATCTCGAGCAGCCTAGCTAGAACAAGGAAGACAGTTCACAGTGTGCTGAACAGTTCCCACATGCCCCGCTCAGGCCACGGGATCCCAGCAGGCTGCTCGCCCAACCCCCACTGGGACACCCCACTCCCAACCCAGCCCAGTGCTGGGTCCCTGAGTTTTTGGCACTCTCCTAAGAGGAATGAAGAGGGTAGGCCTGGCTTCCTTACAACAGGGACAGGCTGGTGGCTGGGGCTAGAGCAGCAGGGCCCAGTGCCCACCCAGGCCCCCAGCTGGGACCCTGTAGTTGTGACCCTGGCATGATACAAGGACCTGGGCCAACCAGGACAGCTGTTAGGAAAGAAAGCACAGTCAGGAAGGAACCTATGTCAACGTGGTGGCAAGATGGGTTGGAGTCCAGAAAAATAGATGTCTCTGACAGGTAAAATATATATTCTGCTGCCCAGGCAGAAGGGCTAGGTCCTGCTGCTCCACAGCCAGCTGGGGAAGAAGCTACAGTACCTGGTTGTGCCCCAACTCCAGATGCTGCCTCCTGAGCACTAAGGGACTGATCTTCTCTGTGCCAGGCCTCAGGGCACAATGCAGGGAATATGGCCAGGTTCCTCCCATTCCCAGGGCCTGGGCTCTCTGGTTGGGACTATTCAGTAATACTGGGAAAGGGGGAAGTGGGGCAGGGAAGGACCCTGGTGAGGGCCACGCGGTAAGAGTGGGCTGCAGAGGCAGGGCCAGCAGTCCTCACTGGCGCTTGGCCTTGCAGGGGTGAGAGCGTTTCTGCCGGTCAGGCTTCCGCTGCTTATGGAATGCTGACCCCTTGGCGCCACCGCACAGAGATATTCTGCTCCACTAGGTCGGCCAGCATGCCTTCCTGAACCAGCATGGAGATGAAGGTACAGATGGACTCATCGTAGTTGTGGGTCTTTCTCTGGTCATCAATCTTGAACTTCTTCCTCTTCTCCACCTCTTCCTTGAGACATGCCTCATAGTTTGCAATCTCAGCCTCCACACACTTCAGCAGTGGCAGCAGCTCCTTGGGTGAGTACTTCTTGCCACTCAAGGGCTTGCCAGGCCTCACCAGTCCCGTCTTCTCTCTGCCATCTGTGGCTTCCATGACCTCCTTCTCCACTGGGCTGCTGGACCCCTGGCTGCCTTGGATCGGTCTGATGGAGGGTGAGGAACCCTTCCCAACCTCTGTCAGCACCAGGGGACTCAGCACCCCACCCTCAGCCGGGTGCAGCAGGCCTGTGCTGATGACAGGACCCAGATCACGGACAGCACTGTTGCAGCGGATGCAGTCAATACGCAGCAGGCTGTCATCTTCTCCAAAAAGCACTTTCGAGATGTGGGAGGTGACAGGGCTAGAGGGCTGTGTCGGGTTGGCTGAGTGAATGGGCGAGCGCTGTGGCAAGTTGAAAGCACTGCCAATCTGGAGGCCGTATCTGTACTCTCGTTGCTGGGGGTGAGCGGGGGCTGCGAGTGTGTGGGCACTGTCACCGCTGGACTCCCAGCCCCGCTGCTAGTCTTGATGGACAGAGGAATTCAGTGGTCCTTCTGGGACTCCTTGAGCTTCTCAGCTGACAGCTGCCCATCAGCAGAACCACCCAATGCCCATGGCTTCCCTGTTCCCTTCTGCTTATACCTAATGGCAGAGTTGGTGTTCTGCATGTCATCCTCCCCATCACCCTCATAGTCGTCCTCATCATCTGAGTATTACTAGGGTGGGTGGACTGGAGCTCGGCTGCAGACCACACCTGCCGCCAGGTCTTCTTCCTCCCGCATGGGGGACTTGGCATAGTGTGATTGTCTAGAAAGGCCGGTAGTTGCTGGACAATGGGAATGGGGTTGGGGAGAACCCCATTGAGGCTGCTGCCTGGAGGCTCCACCACCAGCTTGGGTTTGCTGGGAGGGCTGTGGGTTGGGGCTTGTGTGCATGAACCAGCCCCCTCCTCTGCACCATCTGTGTGGGTGCCCTCAGAGGCTGCAGGGGCCCTGTTTGCCTCCAGCACCCGCGGGGACTTGTTGCTGGCTGGCTTGGACTCCTCAGGCAGCTATGACTCTTGAGACTTGTGGATCTGAATCAGCTCTGGCTGTGTTACTCTTATCAGCTGCTGCAGAGCCTCTAGTACTGTCTGACAGTTCACTTTCAGCACGTGCACACTGGCCTCATACTTGATCCTGCAGTCAGGCACCACTGCCATCAGGGTGAAGCGGATGTTGTGGTAGGGCTCTCTGGCAGTGGCAAGGCCGATATGCTCTATGGTAACCCGCCAGGCCTTGTCTGTGCATTCCTCATCCTCTCCTCAGGACCCATGGTCAATGGGGTAGCAGCCCATCCAGCTCAGAGAGCCAGCCTGTGATAGGCACATAGCTGATGAAGTGGAACGCCTCCATGGTCCGCACTGCACTAAGGCCATTCTGCTTTTCAGGGAGGTGGCGCGGCTCGGGCATGGCATGGCTGTTATGTGCCTTGGCCAACTCTGGGGCATTGCCAGTCGCATATACTTTGCTCTCAGGGCTGAAGCCTTTGGTGAAGTCCTTCATGTGACTCAGGGTAGGTCCCAGGTCCACGTTGCTGCAGTTCAGGAGCATATTCAGCAAGGCATGAGTGGCACAAGAGTTGGGTATCAGCTGGTGGGCAAAGAACATGTTATTCACAATATTGTCATCAATCATGGATGTATCATCCACGAAGGTAGAGACCTTTCCCCGTGACCGGTGCTCTTCGATCCATTTGAACAGGAAGATAAATCCATATACGGGGCCCTGGCATTTGCTCTGAAGGTCATAGATCTCCACTTGCACCCATTTGACACCAAAATCTTCCACCAGCAGGGTGAAGAGGCCGGGGTCGCTCTTCAGCTCCAGCCAGCCCTTATTCATCTTCCTGCAGGGTGGCCCCTCAGTGCCATGTCCAGGTCCTCCCGCCCCACTGCAGCCCCCACCGGGAGTCCCCACTGCCCCTGGGGTCCCTCAGCACCCCACACAGACAACAGGCCCAGGCAGCATTTCTTTTAGTGTAGGTATGTTTTTCAGATTCTCTTAGTTTCATGCTATCCATACCCATCTTCTTGCCACTTTCATTCTTCAGGGGTATTTTCACTGGATATAGAGCTCTGGGTTGATGTGGTCTATCCTCCATGATTTCTTTTCTTTTCTTTCCTTTTTTTTCTTTTTTTGAGACAGAGTCTTGTTCTGCTGCCCAGGCTGGAGTGCAGTGGCACTATCTCAGCTGACTGCAACATCTACATCCCAAGTTCAAATGATTCTTGTGCCTCAGCCTCCCGAGTAGCTGGGATTACAGGCACATGCCACCATGCCCGGCGAATTTTTGTATTTTCAGTAGAGATGGGGTTTCACCATGTTGGCCAGGCTGGCCTTGAACTCCTGATCTCAAGCAATCCGCCTGCCTTGGCCTCCAAAAGTACCAGGATTATAGGTGCGAGACACCGCGCCCGGCCTCTCCATGATTTCTGATACATTTGCTGGCATTTGAATCCTTTTTTTTTTTTTTTCAAACTCTTTATGTGATATGTTGTGTTTTTCTTGCTGCTACTGTCAAGACTTTTATTTTTAATGTTTCTTCTCTCTCTCCTTTTTTTTTTTTTTTTTTTTTGCAGTGATGTGCCTAAACATACTTTTAGTTTTCTTTGTATATATGCTGTTTGGTGTCTGCTGAGCATCTGGAATCTTTAAATTTATGATTTTCATCAAATTTGTGGGGAATAATAGCCAAGCTTCAAAGCAAGTCTGAATCCCAGGTCTCTCTCCATAGGGAGGTAAAGCAAAAGAATAGGGACTGCTAGTTGGAAGTGATGTTAACCAATGTTTCTTAAATATTTTTCTGTCCCCTTGCCTTTATCTTTACTTTCTGGAGGTATGTTAGACTGTTTGAAATTATTTCATTGTTTCCTAGGCTCTTTTGACTCTTTTTTTTTTTCAATCTTTTTTCCCTCTGTTCTTCAAATTGGATAATTATTTCTTTTGGTCTTCAAAGTCACTGACCTTTGTCATATCCATTCTGATATTAAGCCCATCCAGTGGATTTATAATTTTCAGATATTGTCTTCTTCAGTTCTAATGTTTCCCTTTAGTTCTTTTTTATGTTTTCTACTCTTCTGCTATGATTTCTTTCATTGGGAGCATATTTTCCCTTATTTCATTGAGCATGGTTATAGTAGCTAGGCTGTGGCCCAAATCTCAGCTCAGTTTCCAGCACCCTCAGTTCTTAAAGCTGTGATGTTTGCAGCCTGCCCTCATATTTGTGACTCAGAAGCCGGCCAGTGACTGGGCAGAGTTGCATGTGACACTGGGCACCTCTTCTTTGGCTTTCTTCTCTCTGGAATGTTCCCTTACTTTTCTGTGGCCATGGATGCCCTGCCTCGTCTTTCCTCTGGCCAGAGAGATGACAAGTTTCCTTTTGGAAGCCACTCCATGCCATGTCATGACCACAGCAGCCCTCTGGACAAAAGCCACAAAGAGGGGGGACTCACCTGGTGCCAATTCCTTCTTCCAAATTTCAGCTCCCTTGCAAATTCTGTGCGCTCCTCAGAGGCATCAGGTAATATTGTAGTATTATTTTATTTTTCTACAAATGGGTTTCACTATGTTGCCCAGACTGGTTTCAAATTCCCAAGCTCAAGCAATCCTCCTGCCTCAGCCTCCTGAGTAGCTGAACTACAGGTATAAGCCACTGTGACCAGCTTTAGTTATTTGCAGAAGGCCAACGGACTGGGAAATTATGCTACCTTTCTATAAATGAGGCTTCCTTCTCCACTAATTTTCGTTGAGTAGTTGGTATGATTTCGGACCATAAACAGAGGTGCATTAGGACTAAAGTATCTCTTTATTTTCTATATTCAACTTTTTATTTCCATTTGGAGTCCCCAACCTCAGACGTGTCCCCTAGTTCCAGGGTCCTATGAGACAGGGTCATCAGTCCAAACAGGTCAATTGTGGAGCCATCCTTTGTCTCTGTGTTTGTGGTCCTAACAAATGACTTGACTCTCTGCTACTCCTACCTACACAGATGAGGCTAGGTTCCAGGAAGCTTAGACAAACACACTGCCATTTCCCCTTTAGGGCATCCTCCTCCCTGGTGGCACTATTGGGAAGGAGGCACAGGCCCCCTCTTCTCCCAGGACCCCTAGATCTTGTCTTCCTCTTGTTCTCTTTTCCTCTGAGTACTCAGGGAACCTTGGTCTAGTCTGGGAAAAATTCTTTAAGTTTCTTTAAGACACACTCTTTTTTTTTTTTTTTTTTTTTTTTTTTTTTTTTTTTTTTTTTGTTCAAGGTTTTGCTAAGAATTTAGGCTTTTGGAACATTAGAGCCAGAAGCCATATGAGCTACTTTTGTTTTTCCCTGCCAAATGTTACCGCTGGGGCTGTGGGCTCAGAGCTGGTGAATTAGCCTTGCTTAAAGGAGAAAGGAGAAGGTCAGGGAAAGAGGAGAGACAGCAGCAAGGAATCCCATAGTTTGATGTCTCCAAATATTATTCAGACAGAGAAAATTTCTTCTTCTTCTCTTGTCCCCCAGTATGTATCTTGATGCTGGTACATGGTGATTTCTCAATAAATATTTATTAAATGAATGAACAAATTTGCTGTGTAATACTGGGCAAGTCTCATGACCTCTCACTTTGTTCTCTGAGCTCTAAAATGGGGATAATGATACGGATGTCATAGCGTTGCTGTAAGATCAGATGTGATTACACATACTTTGTAAAGAGTTTTCTAATGATAATGCTTTGTTACTGTTATTATGAATGTTCACTGAGCTGAGAGAGTGCGTGGCATCTGTGTCCAAACCATGGGTGATTCCAGGCAGACCGGGTCAACCGGAAACAGACTTTTACCTTTTCCCCAGAGAAGCTACACAACTTCAATGAAGTTTTTGTTCTCCAAAATTATTTATCCTCCTAATGACAGTTTTTATGTCAGTTTGCTTGATGATTCCTGCATGATGAGAATTGATTTTGGATTAGATTCTTCCCAGCATGGAGTAACTGGTACAGTCGAGAAAATGATAGTAATATTGTATCTCATCTTAAAGGCACGCTTTGGCTCTTTGCATATTTTAGTTAGAATTTAAACTGAGTTCTAATTACATGAAATGTTAAGGTATACTTAAAATGTACCTTTTGAGTATTTATAGAAAGTGCTTTCCAAACTGCGTGATGAAGCAAAAATTGAATGCGCTGTGTCTCTTGCTGAAGCCTCTGCAAACGGGCTCAGCATTTAATAAGGTGTTATAATTTTTGATGTTCTTTGTGTGTGAAAAGGACGTTGCTCAATTCTAAAGAACCCAGAAATAGGAAGGGCTGGTACTTAATGACCTGGTGTCTTCAAGGAGCTCATAGCACGTGGCAGATTGCACATTTCCCTCTCAAAATCCTAGGAAATTACCCAGTACTTGTTGGATAGCAACGAGACAGTTACCCTCATCCCAGACTAAAGCTTGGGGTTCAACCACAGCAGCAAGTGTAAGGCCAGCATTTGAGGGATGGGCTTATGGTCACATGAATGCTATGTAAGCTCTATAGGAAGAGAGAAACTGTGGATGAGGGCTATTGGCTACACCTCAAAGTAAGTCCCAGGTTCCACTGCATGTGGGGGAAAAAATTGGTGGGAATGACAGCAGGAGGTGATTCCATCCTGGAAGGTCCATCTTCAGGCCTTAGGGATCAAAATCAGAGCACGATAATGTTCAGGAACAGAAAATCTAGTCTGAATAAACTGATATGCTCTGCTTTTGGGTGGGAGGTTTTCCAGCTACAAGGGTTGTTCAATCAGTAAATATTTTTTGTTTGCCTCCTATTTTAAAACCTTGTATTAAATGCTGCAATACAAAAGGAAGTTATATTTCACTAGCACCTTCCAAAGCATTTTTTTGTCTTTCTTTATTTTTTCTGAGATGGAGTTTCACTCTTGTTGCCCAGGCTGGAGTGCAGTGGTGTGATCTTGGCTCACTGCAACCTCTGCCTCCCGGGTTCAAGTGATTCTTCTGCCTCAGCCTCCCTAGTAGCTGAGAGTGCAGGCATGTGCCACGACACCCAGCTAATTTTTGTATTTTTAGTAGTGACGGAGTTTCGCTGTGTTAGTCAGCCTGGTCTCGAACTCCCAACCTCAGGTGATCAGCCCGCCTCAGCCTCCCAAAGTGCTGGGATTATAGGCATGAGCCACTGCACCCAAACCAAGCATTTTTTTTTATATCATGGACACACACACACACACACACACACACACACACAGACACACACAGTGTTTTAGGAGGCTTTTCCTATATACTGTATGATGGGTTATAGCCACAGTTCTAGGGTTGATCCTGGACACACAATTAAGTAGCTGTGTTTTCTCAGGAAAACTGCTGAACCTCTCTGTGCTTTAGTTACCTTATAAGTGAAAATGAACTAATAAGAGTACCTACTTCCTAAAGTTGATGTGAGGAGAACATGAGTTATTTTGCATTAAGTTCACAGAAGAGTGCCTGGTGTGTGCTCATTAACTGTTATCTATTTACTGTCATTCTGTGGGGCTGGGAACATTAGGAGCCAGGTCCACGCAGGGCCAGCAGTGGGTGATCATGGGTGATCCTGAGCAGCCAGGAGTTCGGTTGGTAATATGAGAAGCAGAATAGAGGGAGTGAATAGAAGAGCTGAATCTCTTTAGAAGGAGATTCTGTGACCTAATAAGAGGGAATCAGAGGCTGTTATCCAGTAAGAAGAGATGGCTGGGGTCCTGGGCAGAAAGCCCAGCAGCAAGGGATTGGACAGTGAAATTCACAGGACTGACTACGGAGCAGCAATCCCCAGCATGGGATGATTTTAAAATGGCTGTTTGAGATACTAAGTTCAGAAGGGGATATGTAGTAACGTGGACTTGGTGTTGAGGCATGGAGGGACTCCTACATTTCTCCTCCTGTGGACAGCCCTGGGTTCGGGACTGTGGCCCGGCTGAACTTAAATTGGATATTAAAATTTAAGTCGTTGCAGTAATAA